CCCCCCCCCCGCCACCATAGCTAGTCCATTCAAAAGCCCTTTTCCCAGCACAGGAGGTTTCCACCTGACCAATGGAAGGTTTCTACAACAAGCAAGGGTGTCCACTCTGATTGAAGATCAAGGCCAGGGAAATGACCAGGCAGAGCTGTGAACCCAGCCATCCCACTGTGAGCTGGGCCTGGGGCCAGGACTCCATTTACTGTGTACCCACTTTTACTCCCCTAACCTAACCAGAGTCCTGATGACACTTGACTTCCTCAGGTATCAAAGGCACCTGTGTTCAAGGGCAATCCTAAAGCAACGCCAAGTATTCCTCTTCCTGGGGTATGTACAGTTCTCTGAGTAAATAAATGGCTGGAGGCCCCTTCTGGGAAGGACCAGGACAACCATTACTGCATTCCTCACAGCGATGTGGGAGAGGCCTCCCTCATGAGATCCGGTCTCTCCTCTGGACAAGGGGTTCTGAGCCTGAGAATTGCCTCATGTCTGGGAACTGGGTAATGTTTTGTGACTTCATCTTGGGGCAGCTTCCCTCAGCCATTGGGCCAACGATCCCTTGAGTCCTTCCAGTTGTATAAAGGAAGCCAACCCCTGTCAGCTGCCCAGCCATTTGCCTCTGGCCACACCATGATCCATTCATAGCTCCCTAGCTCTCTGTGAGTCTGGTCCTCCCTCCTGGCCTCTGAAAGGCCCGAGCTACCACCTGGTCCTATTGCTGTGGGATCCTCTAGATCCCATTGCTATCAGGGAGCCCGGTTCTGTTACATCTTCTTCTGTCAGTTTGGGCCCCAGAGGAATGGCCACCCAGCTTCTCAACAATGTGGTGCCTCTTTCTTTTTGGTAGATGGAGGTCCTCTGGGTCCCTTTGTGGAACATACTTGGCTGGTGGGCATATTTGGCTGTCACAAATATAGAATTACGTCCACTCTAACACACAGAACTTAAGAAAAGTGTCTCTCTCACTGCACAGCCAAGTATCAAAAAGAAGAAATGGCATTGGGTTTGGGGGGAGATAGAACTAACAAAGATTTTGATTTTTTTTTTTTTACTACTCAGAATCAAGGACCCCCTTGATCCTCCAGCTCTGAGAGTAACATGACACAGCGATGGGAATATCTGCAGCTCTTGACCTCGAAGATGACAGCAGTGGTTGGGCTCTGCCCCCCATTATAGAGAAACTGAGTATGGAACCAGGGATAACTGGCTGGCTCAGTCGGTTGAGCGTCCGACTTCAGCTCAGGTCATGATCTCATGGTTGGTGAGTTTGAGTTTGAGCCCCACATTGGGCTCGCTGCTGTCAGTGCCAAGCCTGCTTCGGATCCTCTGTCCCCGTTCTCTCTGCCCCTCCCTCAGTCACACACTCTCTCAAAAATGAGTATTAAAAAAAAAAGGCAACTAAACAGGACCTGGAGAATTGCTCTGAGGGTGAGTCTAAGGGTTTCGAGTGAAACCTTTAAACTGCTAAGGACCTAGAGTATCCCTGAGTTATCTGGTCCACCTCCCTCCATTAGACACAAGGGCAGGGCTGGGTCCCAGAGGGGGGAGAGGCTGGTGGTCCCGAGTCCTACCCTCCTACCCATCATCACTGAAGTAAACCAAAACAGACGTCCCTTCTCCCTCCACCGAAGGAAAGGGGAAAATTGCCAAAGGAAATCAGCCACCAAAGAAGTCATGTCCGGGTCCACTTCCTACCTCCCACACTGTGGGTGCAGCCACGTGAAGCCAAATGCACAGGCGGTTTCCATACTAGCAAAATACTTTTATTACTTTATAATGATAAAAGAAGGAGAGTAAAGATTTCTTTTTGGTGTATACCAGAGTTAAGGGCAGTAGGAGGATAAGGGGATTAACAGGATTTTTATGTACTTTGATGACAATAGAAAGTTAACAGTATCGACTGTTTGCCATAAAACTTATCATAGCTCCCCCAAAACACATATATAAAGGATCATAGTTTTAAAATCTATAAAAGTAAAAAATATACAGTCAGAAACTCTAACGCTTATTTCCTCTTTAATATAAAATTGTAAACATTTATTTACACAAAGCAAATGTGTATAACAAAGTCCGAGCACCCTTTTCTTGTGAGTCATGGCTCCTGGAAGAGGGGATTTGCACTGAAGCGGAGTCTCCCCCCTTGACTACCCAAAAACCAGATTCATAAATAAAGCCATGGGCAGCTCCCTGGGGGGGGAACCCCAAGCATCACATTTTATTGCTCCGACACTGCAGCGAGAAGCCTGCTGTCTGTCCGGCGGCCCGAGGGCTAAGGCAGGGGCAGCCCTCCCCGGGAGGGGACAGAGGTGAGCGGCCAGGGGGAGAGCAGGAGAGGAACTAGGACTCATCACCAGCCTGCAGCCCGCTATTTTTGGTTGAAAACCCACTGAAGTCCCCCTCTTCCCCTTTAGATTGGGGAACTCACTCAGAGGGTGGAGTCTTCACTGGCTTTAGGATTCGTTCCCTTCTTTGAGAGCTAGATTCAGTACGAGGAAGGCAGGGAGGGCGTTTAAAGGGGAAATGGCCCAGACACCACCCAAGGTGGCAAATGGCTATTAGAGAAGAGGATCTGAGGGTCCAACTACCCCCATGAAAGGCACTGCTGGTGCAAAATAATTACCCATGTGTGTGCAACCATTCATCCCCTCAAAGCCACTCGGGCTGCCCACGTGGATCTCTTCCTTGGCTTAACTCTTTACATATGACACTCCTTGAATCACCCACTTTGAGACTCCAGGGAAATAAAAATGGGGTTGTGGTTTCTCCAGGGACCACTCTACATGGAAGCCACTCTCTTCAGTGTCCTATTTTCTCTCCAACACTCTGTTTAGAAGGGTTTCGCCCTGCACTTACCATTTTGCTTTCGTTCTAACCAAAGTGCTCTCTCCATCTTTGTTTCCAGAAACAGCCCACGGGGAATACTCTGTTCTGCGGACTCTTAGCTTAGCCAAAGTCCATTAATTCACAGACCTTCAAAGAGAAATCCACTCCAGTCTTTAGAAAGGATGTATTAGTGTTATAAAGTCATTCTCTTCAAAAAGTGCACGTCATCGGACGAGGGAGAGAGGCAGAAGTGGTGAAACAGAGAGGAGTTCTCACCTGCGGCTCGGCCTGTGGCCTCCCTGCCCAACAGTGCACACCTCTTTCCCTCCTTCCCCCAAACCTTTGCTTTCTGGGGAGGGGACACCAGCCCCACTACTACAATGCTAGGGCTCCCTAAGGAATCGTAATGACTTTCCCCTCCAGTCTAGTAACCTGTGGCCTTAAAGAGGTTTTCCATTTGTGCTGGAGAGAGAAGGGGAGGCAGAGAGGTCATGGGAACTGCAGATGGGGTGAAGGAAAGACGTCTGTGCACAGCAATGATCACCTTCCTGACGCATTAAATACAAGTTTTGAGAGAAACTGCAGAACAGGGGGAGGGTTTACAACAAAAGGGGACACAGGAATCCCAAATAATCCATCTCGGCATTTAGCCTGGGGGTGGCCTGGGGTCCTGGAAGCACAGCATTCTGGGGGGAGGAGGAGGAGCGCGGCTGGAGTGACCACATCTGTGTCACTAGTTCTGCTATCTCGCGGCATCCTGTTCCTTTTTGGCACATGCAGTCACAGCCTGTACTGACGGAAATGATTGCCCGGGGACCCTCCCTTTCCCCTGAAAGCGGACAAAGAGCAGGAATAAAAAGGGCTCTTAACCAAAGGAAACCCTAGGTTTCCAATGCCACTTAAAATCAATTTAAACCACCACCTATCCTAATCTGTCTTAAAATCTTAAAAAAAAAATCTTTTCTATGCTACAAATTGCAAATAGTTCTGCTATATAAAGTTGCAACAAAACCTGTCCCCAACACTGGGGAAAGAGGAGAAATCTTGGATTAAGTCAACACAATGGCAGAGATTTTTATAAGCCTGCCATCGTGGGGTTTCACCATTCTTACTGTTGGTTTTTTGGTCATTTGGATAGAAAACCACTCATAGAACCCTATCCTGCTGTCCCAACACCAGGCAACAAAGCCAGCAGATGGGCTGGGGCCAGCCCGACGGGCCACAACTGCTGGCTGGGAGCTGTGCACCCGGCAGACCCTGGCCTGGCCAGGCCAGGCCTCCACCCTGGGGCTCTGGCTCCACCCACCCAGCTCCCCAGGCCGCGGGCTTTTGGTCCAATGTAGTTGCTCTTTCTTGAATCTGAAAATAAAAATACAGGCTGTGTGAACAGTTGAGACCACCACAAATCCTCCAGTTACTGAGGCCCTAACAGGTCATCCAGATCGTTCATCCACTCTTCCGAAGTCCTGTTCTTCAGCAGGGAGTCGATCAGGTCAGCATCTCCGGCCATGCTGGCCAGCCCACTGCCACCCGGCTGCCCGCTGTAGGCGAAGGGCAGC